AGTCGCCAAAGGAGCACCGTGTCTGCGAAGGACTGGCCAGTTTTAGACAGCTGCGTCAACAGTGACTGAGACGCCAAAACGTGGATCAGAAGAGACTCGGCTATACATTAATTACCTTCTTCTTTGAAGCCACTTGAGGAACTTCTATCACCAAAAGACTCTTTTTTGCGCTTTGCTTCTTATAGTTTGAACTGGCCCGGTGATGGCGACATCAACGGTGCCTGATAAAGAAGGTACCTTGTTATAAGCGAAAACGCACTCTTTCGAACCTGTTAAATTATGTTTCGGGCATGGGGGAGATCCCTGTTGTACGGAAGACAGCATGATTTGGTGCCAATCTTCAAGTCAGAAAAGTTATCCTGCGAGCCTCGCCTCATATGGACCGGTATCACTAACATCATGCATGTCTAAGTTGATAGAAAGATTATTATACAAAACAGTAGCTAGGAACATTCAGCAAGAAGATGATGTCCATCGTGTATGACTGGATTTGGCTCGTGCACTACTGAGTGCCCAGGACAGTGTTTTGGACTATTTACTGACCAACACTCGCAGTCTTCATGTACATACAAGGCATATAAATGTGAGCCTCAGATAACGATCGTCAGCGAACTTCAAGCCAAGGGTATGTAGGGAAATGCTCTTTATTTCGTACATGAATTTCTCAGAGATCATTGCGTTCGGGTTAAGCTTGCATATTTAACGAGCGAAGAGCGGCGCGTTTACCTCGGCGTCCCTCCAGAAAGTGTTTTATATTCCTTGCAACTCTGAAAACAATTTTCATATACATGTACGCTGATGAAATCTGCTTTTGGATCTCAGGGTACGAGCACGAAAACTCGAATAGCCCAGGCCGCCATTTTAATCATTGAACATCGCTTATCGACACTTGGCCTGTCTTTATCAGCGAAAAAATTCGGCGTTCATGCTTTTCTCAAATCACGCTCATCGCAAACGACTCCTACAAATCAAAGGATGATCACTTTGAAATGACTAAACTCGGAAGTGTATTGAAGGAATCCTGCTATACAATAGCATGGCAGAACGCGCAGCGTAAAAATGGTGCCCTTATTGGAAACGAGACCCTCCAATGGAGCTGCAGGCACTGCATTTTTGTGACGCGCAGAGTTGGATCACATTATTTTACGTTGCTCCGACAAAGGGAAGCGGGCGGTTCAACGCGTTGCTTTTAACCATAAATTATGGCGTTTTCCCATTTGGACTGTGTTTTGTTCTTCACTTCACGAGTGCGGGCACATAGAGGCTACACAATCTAGGAGGAGGGCGTAGTCAAAGCTATCGGCGGCTTGGTTCGTTAAGCTGCCTCGTGCCACTGGACGAGCCAAGCGTTAGCTTTCACTTTCCCCGTTACACTGGTTTGCCAGAGCTTAATACTATACTGTCACTTGACATTCTTTTCATTGTTATTTCCAGCACACAGGCTTACTTGTTGAAGGATGTCTACAGAATGGGCACACCTGCAGTGGTACTTCTTTTTGTTACTCTGCGCTACAGGTGATGCCATACCCAGCTTCAAACGCTGATTGAGCTTCTATAAATGTGGAATTTCGTGTTTCATGAGATTATAAGGGATGTCGTAGGTGACTCCCAGCTGAATGATCTGCTCACTGAACACCCCGCCTCCCACAGGTGTTGTCGTAGGCATTTTCACTTTTCACGTGATAAGGTACGCATTTGGATAAGGTATGCATTTGGATAAGGTACGCATTTACACACACAAACACACATATAGACACATACAAACACACAAACACACATATAGACACATACAAACACACAAGCACAAGCGGGTGCGTATTCACGCCCTCACACGAAATGGCACTGCCCGCCTAGACTGTTCCATGGAATTGCTATCAAAATAAAATAGCACTGCCTCTTCTAAACCTGCATCAGTCTGAATAGTCATCAAGATTGACACGCACACAGAGTACTATAGAAGAGACGTATCCGGGTCATGCGGTGACCCAAAGAAGCATTCTTTTTTCCCTATTGCCAATACTATATGCCAGTGCGTCGGCTCGTCACCGACTGCGTGGGCATAATTCTGCGCCGTCGTAACGGTCGTGTTGATTATACCTGTATTTATCCCAAGTATTTATCACGAGGGTCTCCCCAGGTGATTTCCAATTTGCCCTGCACCAGCTGATTCTATTTGCGGTCCCGCGAACTTAGTAATTGCATCTTTCCAGCTCGGCCACGCTCGGCTGCCGTACAATCTTGCACACATCGGTTATCCGTCCCACTCGTTATGTGACCCGCCCAGATACACTTTTCTCTTTTAATATCAACTCGAAAATCGGTTATACATACCTGCTTCCTGCTTCGCTCTGTGTCGCGCCGTATATTAATGTTACACCTGTCGTTTTCGTGCCACCCACTTCGTTTTCGTGCGTTTTCTCTGGTTCGTTATCCTCCGAGTTTCTGCCCCGGACGGGCTTACACTTTTCTCGTGGTCCTATCTGCCGTCCTTATGCTTGGGTGAATTTTTTTCGCACGATAAGACTCTGTCGTTTGAAAATAACCTAAGCACAAGGTTAGCTTGTAGACATTGCATGTACGGCTGCCACTCGGTGGACTCTCATTCTTCCCAGGTAGTCGCAATTAATATAAAATCTTCATAATTACATTTACGGAACGCTCCATAATTACATATAGGTTTCGGCGCATAAAACTATAGTAGCCATTGCCGAGAACATTCGCACAAGTGCACACATTTTGACCAACAGCGACGAGGTCGTTCCAGGCGTCGTTCGAACTTGAGTACGTTTACGCGCAAAGATTTGCTATACGCCATTGTTACTTATACAGCAGTTTGCAGGCGACAGACGTGTAGCATAAAATTTACAGTTATCGCGAATGGCCGAACTTAATCAACGATAGAACTCTGCCAATTATGTCAGAACTAAAAAGGCAGGTACTATGCAGGAGGAGTCAATTCCGAACCCAAATAATAAGGATGGTTGCAAATTTAAATACTCTAGTGGGAATATCCCGTTGTGGAGCTATGTTTGCGGTCACATGTGTTTATTTTTGAAGCAATACAGATTGTTTATCAAAGTTCGATGACAATAAGGCTCCTATCGTTTTGGAAAACGAAGTCTACGTCAAGGTGGAAATACTTTGCCGCAGATAACATGGCGCTGTTGAGACTAATAACAAGAACAAGTTAATTAAGTGTTTAATTATTGACTTGAGGACGGGTTTTTATGTTACAAAGTTGTGCGTGACAACATAGGGCACGAATATTTTTTTAGAAATTTAAAAAGTTTGATCTACGAGGCTTCCGAGGAAAAGACGTGCCCTGGTCATATCTCCCCAGCACCCATTCTGCGAAGACACAGAATCTATTGAGCATTATTTTCTAACATGTTGCAACTATGCATTAATTAGGAAGAGGCTTCGGGTTATTTCGTTTTCGACGGCAGGTTAAGTTTACCCACAAAAAAAAAAAACTGTTCTAAGTTTTGGTTTCTCCATTTTGGGGCATTGCCACAGAAATGTATTTGATGCTGTATGTAATTTTATTCAAGAAGCCAAGTGTATTTAACATAAGGCCATGCTTCAATATATACTCGAAAATTCTAGGGACTTAATTGTTAGTGTGAATAAATAGGGGACATACATTCGATCTTGATCGAGTCAGGAAAACTGAACTGTCTGGTCAGCTCAAAATTTTTTTCTTTCGATATGGTATTAGCACCCATCTCATTTTAGTGATTCATCTTTATTTTATTATTTTACTTTATTTGCAATTTCTTTTTTTTTCATTCTTTGTACGTTTCAGTAATACGATGACAATCCAGTGTGTAATTATCATATATAGATTACTACAAATTTTTTTTTGGCCAATCCTCCCCGAGTGGGTATGTTCCCAGAATTGACAGCACCAAACAAACAAAGAAACAAACAAAGCAAACAAACAAACAAACAAACAAACACGGGCCTCCTTGGTGTGGAATGCCCCAAGTACTATTTTGAAATTTTTCATCTAGCTTTACGGGCGCAAGTTGGCCCAAAACGAACATGTTTTATAGCACAGCGCCCCTCTACAAGCGTCGTCGTCGTGGTAACCTAAAGAGCGAACAAGGACGAAGGAGAGCGAATGAAAAGTGCAGCGGTGCATGAAAGATGGCGATAGCGAAAAGAGCGCGTGGATGAGGGAACGACAGTGGCGAGACGACATGTCCCGAGGGGTTGATAGGCGAAGCTGGCTGTTTAGTATATATTCATAATGAAATATAAGGAGCGCAAAACTAACGGGACGCAAAGGAGGATACAAACGAGCTCAGACTGCAACTTGGTTTATTCTTCGTAAACCATGTTTCAGTCTGTGCTCGTCGGTCTCCTCATTTGCGTCCCGTTAGTTTGAGCTCCCAATATTTCATTATGCACATGTTCCAAGGCGGGCCACCTGCGGCACCATAGGGACCTCATGGCACCGCAGTAGTAGGCGTCGTCGTGCTGTTGCCGACGGCATCATCACTAAGGTATGCGCGGAGGCCGTCCTCGATATCAAGTGTGGAAGTAAAGCGCTGCGTTGACGGAGGACTGCCTGGGGTGACTATTGTTGAACGTGCCTACAAGCTGCCTACCGCGGTCTCCCGGTTAGTGAGGCACTTGCGCCTCAACCTCTCGCAAGATCGATACACCTCAACAGCTGCGCTTCGAATTTACATTAACCAATGCAGTCTCGTAATCGTCGGTGAATTGCTTTGAACTTTTCCAAAACACTTGCACTATACTCAAGATAAGACAAGATCAGACGATGAAAAATAAGAATAAGATAAGAATAATGCAAACTTGAGCGAGTTTGTTGCTACGAGGAAGGGAAAATAGCTATTGATTTATTGATTGTTCGATTGATCGATTGATTGATTTGCAGAGTTTAACGTCCCGAAACCACCATATGATTATGAGAGACTGCCGTAGTGGAGGGCAAATAGGCTATTTATTAGGGTCTGCTGAAACTGATGACTCACCAGCAGACGGGGTGCTGCGGTCGTCTGCCTCGCACTCTTTCTGGGCCTCCTCGAGTACATTCATCTGCTTCGCAGGGGTGTCTGTGTCACTAGGGATAATCTGCACAGAAGAAAGGCACGACGTCTCTGTAACAGGAATACACAGTAATAAAGTTTCAACGCTAGAGTCGCAGAGCCGAACAGGAGTGAGGCCACAGACAAATATTACATTGTTTATTACGCTAAATGAGAAAACGTGTAAAATAAGAACCTTCAAAACAAACTACCCCAAAGATAGCTTACTCTGCATAGGTCACACTATGTCACACTGCATAGGTCACATAGCTTACACTCGGGCTTGTCCCATCAGTGTATACATGCTCTGCGAGCCACTTAGAGTTCACCTCTGATTACTGAGCAGACACAGACAGCACCCACTGTCAGTACTACCCACCACTCACCCAGATTGCAGTTTCTCAAAAGTAATATCGCGGCATGAAAATATTATACCATCAAGGTTTTCTCCGCCAAATGCCCCTGCAGTGCCTCCATAAGTTCTGCCTAAACCATCTATCTCTTTTACGATACCTGGAATTACGAAGAAGTCGCTCATTTCTTGTGTTGGCCTCAGACAACTGACCCTATATCACATTAATACAACGTACAGTGATTCTCTGCACGTGTACACTGACGGATCCACCACGCTAAACACCTCCGCCGCAGCCTTTGTCATCCCAGACATTGATATCGCTCGACGATTCAAAGTGGATCATAAAACCACATCAACTGCCGCAGAGCTTGTCGCTATCCGAGAGGCAATAAGGTTTATTTCCGGAGAGCGACCTCGAGCCTGGATGATGTTCTGTGATGCCAAACCTGCTTTGCAAACCATTAATTGTATCATGAAGCAAGGTCCATATTACAGCTTGGCAATAGAAATCACAGAACTTATTCAGGTTGCTTCAACAAATGGCCATCTTATAACTTTCCAGTGGATTCCCGCTCATTGCGGCGTGATGGCAAACGAAGAGGCAGACGCTGAAGCTAAAAATGCCTTAAGCAGTGTCCTTGAAGTACGCATTGCGTTTTCACGAGCTGACACGAACGCCCTGCTTCGCTGCGTGATGCGCAGCTACACACTTCAGCACTGGACCAAACCGGAACGGCGACACCAGCGACTTCACAAATGGGACCCGGAAATGAGGTTCCGCATGCCTCCTAAATTGAAACGGCAACTCACAAGTATGATCCACCGCATTCGTCTTGGTGTAGCGTACACCAGACGTTACGCACATATCATCGGTCGCAGTGACACCGATCCTAATTGTGAACACTGTGATGTGCCAGAAACACTTGAGCACATATTTTGTGTCTGCCCAGCATACGCACGTGAACGACAAACACTGATTTCTTCTACTGAATTATATCGCAGTAGGTCATTAACTGATGAGACCATGTTGGGCCCTTGGCCAGACACCAACAGTGCAACTGTGGTCACAAGAGCAGTTATTACCTTTTTAGAAACAACTGGACTATGTGCGCGGCTATAAAATGTGTCTCAGCTAGAAAGAACACTACACACTCACCTCTCTATCTCACCATCGTCATCCATTAATCTTTCTTTTCCCCTTTTCCTTCCCCCAGTGTAGAGTAGCAGGCTAGAGCAAGCTATCGCTCAGGCCGACCTCTCTGTCTTTCTGTAAATAAACTTACCTCCTCCTCCTCCTCCTGCGTAATGATTATGCGGAAGCTGGCATAGATTTCTTCCACTGTACACAAACCTAATTGTGTGAAATACACGTTTTATGTTTTCCATTGTTCTCTGCAGTTGCAATATTGTGATTACTGTTGTTATTTTTATTTTTATTGGAATTTGTTTGTTTTGTTGCATGCTACTTGAGTTGGCACTGCTGACGTATATAAGCTACTGTTGTTGTGTTGAAAAGTGGGTGTGGACCCTCGTCAAGCTGCCTCTTTTGGAAAGCAGCTTTCACCTACAGTATTCTTTCTTAAAATTCATTGATCGAAATCAAAAATTTATATTATTGTTATTACTAATATTAGTATTAAAAGTATGACACCATTCACAAAACACGATGCGAAATGAAGAAGGACTAAGAGCAGACACGACGCGAGCTCTGACTTTCAACTAAAAACTTGATTGCAAGAACACCTTAAAGTAGCTTTTTTTACGCGTTGTGAGACCATCCGCAGACAATATTTGAAGGTGGCTCTTGCAACAATATAGCGAGTTCAAGGTCAGTTCTTGTGTTGCGTGCATTTTCCCTTGGTTCACTTTGCGCCGTCTCAACTCGAAAAGCAGCACTCAAACTCTAAAGATACTGACGTGTAGTATAAGCATAGCGCCACGCAGTTACCGGTATGGCAGGCCTGTTTCTGCTCCCCTAGAACTATCGACGATGGACGCTACATCGAGAGCACTCCCGACTCAATCCCCGCCAAACCTGCTGCACCTTCAGTTTACGGGGCGCACGCTCACCGTGGAATGCGCCGTAAGATGCCAACTCAACGCCACCCCCCACCCCCCCTTCATTTGACGTCACATTGGCCCTCGCACTATCATCACACAAGAGTGTTGACGTCATCAATGACGTCACAAAATCACTACAAAAGCAGCAAGCTTGGGGGCACGATAGTCCTGGCTTGACCTAACTGGCTTCTCGTCTTTGAACTAACTGATATTGTTTGTTTGCTATTAAAAGAAAGCTGTGCTTTGCTTGTTGTGCCACCAAAGCCACGTTGCATGCCAAGAGTGCTTTATATATGTAGCTGCATATTTTAAGTGCGAAGCATTTCTTAAATGCTAAACACTTTGAGTGTTTGCATATCTACGCATTTATGTATTTATCTATAGCCGCCGACTAAGTCTGAGTGCTCTCGTCGTCGCTTCCTCAACTTGAGGTAAACTGAAATCAGTATGATAGCGTAGGAGGGGTCCAAAAATTAAACGAGGAATGACCTAGAAATCCCGTCGAGTACGTCGCCAAATATTCTCTTCTTTTTTTTTTAGTTGTGACAAAGACTTGCTTTCAAGGCATAATATTTTTGCGAGTATGTTTGTTAAGTGTGCGCCGTTAGGCTGGTGTTGTGCATTCTCTTCTGGACACGTTTAGCACCCGGTATGCGGGTATAGGCCACAAGTGAATGCCAATTTACACTTACCCAGGAACGGCGAGAACAGACATGGCTAATTTAAACGCGAAAGTGTGGTAAAGAATACCGACATCGGCATCGTTGACCCAACGAATGCGAAAAATAAATATCAGGATGCCAGCTGAAATCGAGCACAGTCATTCTGCGTGGCAATTGAGTATTCTACTACAAAGCCACGCCAGGTCTCAAAACTGCTGCGAAAAGATACTCTACACAAGAGTAAGGTTGTGGAACGTCAATTGTGGTTGCAGTGCTGGCTATTTAATTTCCAGAACATTACATATGTACTCATATCATATTGGCGTTACGTCGAATTAACGTCACTTGTAGTTAAGTGTCATCCACTAAAGTTGGTCTACGGAGCACTACCCTGGGCTATCGAGTCTCGCATGCACGAACGTTACATATCAGCTTACCGCTACTGGTGTTGGGAATATCCATGTTACTGTTGGCGTGGTTGCGCATCTGTAGACCACTGGTTGTATAAACCATATGCGGCTGTTGAGAATATGTATGTGAGAGGAAAACACCACTCTGGCGTCTTTTCCTAACGTTTCACTTAATAAAATTACACCACCGTCCCCTTCACTCCGGATGCGTCACATATAACATCGATTCTCAAGGTACATGAAATATGGACTTTTATTTTGTCTGGTAGGAATGTTTTTTCACCTAATGAACATCATTTTTGTCTAGGTCACTCTTGTGAAACCCAGCTAGCTCTCTTGCCCCATAAAATTCACTCGCATATTGATAATAATATTCCCATATTTATGCCTTACTTGTTGATATCGAAAGAAGCATTTGATAATATTTCACGACGTCACTTACTGTTTAAACAGTTCATGCGTTAACTTAGACCCTTCCATGCTTAACCGTATTCGTGGATTCTCATACTGATCGCCGGTAGTTCGTTGCTGCTAACTCCAGCAAGTAATCGCCTCTCTCGTGCTCACTCCAGAATCTACAAGGCACTGCACTAGGCCCCCTACTTTTCCTTTTAACTAACTGTTAACGACCTGCCACGTAAAATTGACTCTAATATTAGTTCATTCGGTGACGACTACATGCTATATCACCCTCCATCTAACGTTTCACGATCTTCCGTTTTGCAGAGAAATGCTGACACTTCGCAGGAATAGTGTAAAAACTGGTTAATGTACCTAAATATTATCAAGACTTTAGTGATGACCTTTTATTGACGCAACCACTACGTAAACACTTACACTGTATACAATTAACCTGTAACAACATTCAATATTAGGTGTACAAATTTCCGGTGATATAACAAGGTTGCTACGCATTATAACATTACTGATTTTGCTCCTCGGTGATCTTCGTCTCAGCCTTGCCTCGGCACCTACCTCTGCTAATCTTATAGCTTGTAAAATGCTTGTAAGAGCTAACTTTGAGTATGCTGATGTTGTTTGTGATCCTCATCAAGCTAACATTACTAAAACGCTTGAATCCCTCCGGAATCATGCTTCAGATTATCATCCCGAATTGCTCGACTAACAATAAGTGTGCCAGCAGTTAAATCTCAGCTTAACCTTCTTCATCTTGCATCTCACCCTCACATTTCTCATCTGTGCCTCGATTATGAGTTTTTTTTTTTTCATTCCTTGCCCCCGGGCAACGCATTCATCAACCCAGCTGCATGATCCGACACCGCGCCATTGTCATCACAATGCCATAGATCCCGCATGCATCCGAATAAAGACCTTCCAGAAATCGTTTTTCCAGCAGACAGCTCAAGACTGGAACGACTTTCCCGCTCACATCGTCATATCAACCACGTTTTCTCAATTTAGAACTGCAGTAAAAGGCCATTTGTCTTCGTGGTAAGTATGAACTTCTGCGTTTTTCTTCTTGTTGTTCACTTTTTTCGTGTTACTCATCCCTCATGTAGTGTCCCTATGAACCCTCGAGATACAAATAAACGAAAAA